ACATTGGAAAATAATAGAATAATCAATCATCTTCAGCCCTGTTTAAGCTCCTTAGGCAACTAAAGACTAACAAAGGCAAAGAATTTGAATATACCTGTGTGCTATTTGGCTTAAGCCTCTTGATAGCAACTATGGTTTCCTCTCCCTGATCACCTTCGAGCCTTATTTTCCCCTTATATACACTCCCAAAGCCACCTTCTCCAATCCTAAGCGACCTACTGAACCCATTCGTCGCAATTTTGAGCTCTTCGAGAGTAAAGGCTCTAAGAGTATGCTCCTTCTCTTTGTACAACTCAGGTATGCTCCGGGGCGTAGGCAACGATTCAAATGCATCAATCACACGATCCGATTTGTTCCTTTGATTCGATTCCTTAGTCGGTCCTGCTCCTCTTTTGATCTTCTTTTTACGATTAAAATTGAAGAAACAACCCATACTCAAAACTCCCGAAAAATGAAACTCTCCGCAATTCACTCGTGGAAAACAAAAAGTTGCAGACAAGAGCACCCAGTACAGAGTTCCAAAAGCCCAACAAAGTCAAATTGGTTACGGTATTATCAATCCCAAAGCAGAAATTATGTTCACAAATCAATCAACCGAGGAAAATCCAAGCAGAAACTTGGATGCCAAGAAAACTACAGACCGAAAAATCAAAAACCGACAAACAATCGTGTAAACGGTTCAAAAAGGTAGAGAAATTCCAGATGCGGAACAGCAGAGAGCTTGAAATGGAAAAAAAACAGGGTTTGATCAAATAAGGATTTGTCGTGAACAAAACGGGAGAAAAGATCGATCCATTAGACAGACAAAGCTATGGAACTGAATCAAAACTGTACACGTAAATCTAACAAAGACTATGAGAAGAAGAAGAAAAAGAAGAAGAAGAAGAAGACCTTTTAAGAATTTGGTATGGTTTCCACGAATTCGAGCGGCCAAATGCACCAAGCAAGCGACGCATGGCGGTTAAAACAGGATTCCCTTCGGCTTCCTTTGACGAAAAGTCGCCGTTTTCACATGCGTCCCTTTTCCTCTGATTTTCCTTTCTAAAAAATCAACAATTAGTTATTAAATTCCATGTTAGTTGTGTATTTAGATATTTAGACATTGATTTCGACCATAATAACTCTTTTCTTAAAAAATAATAATTTAACTTGAAATTTTTAAAAATTTTTATATTATAAATTCACGATGATCTAATAATGTGAGACTTTTATCATCCAACAATTAAATCGTTATAAATTTTAAATATAGAGATTAATTTATTATAAAATTTTTAATTTTTTTTTGTCTACCCAAAATTATTATATCATGGAAAAAGTTGCCAACTCAGTATTTTTTTTTTTAAAATGTTAAAACTTAAAAGAAAAATAAATGCATTAAAGACAAGATATCAATCTTATAACCTTAATATATATAATCCATTATATTTCAAATAATTTTAAAAAATACTTTTTATTGTTGCGTCAATTCTCAAAAATATTTTTAATCAATTTTGAATTTATTGTTCAGATTGACTAACATAATTGAAAAATATTCCAAAATTAAGGAATATTTAGTATAATTAAATATATAAATTAAACGTTAAAGAAAACTAGTTGCGTGCAAGGAAATATTCTCCCTCTTATTTTCCTCCAAAATTTTTATATTAATTTATGGAAAACAGCTATAAAAACCCCACCTAATTACTTAGACTAATTTTAAATTATTGAAGGTATTCCTTGAAGTTGGCCACCATTTTTCTAATTTCTTTTAGATTTATTTACAAATCATGGCATTATTATTATATAGTTAATCCATGTAGCCTATACCTATTCAAATATATTAATCACTTTTGTAATTATTATATTTAAATGTGTAAAATATGACCACAATTTCTTCCTAAATCTTAAATTATAGGTAGATAAGTACCAAGTTTTATTTTTAATAGCCCCGAAACACGTGGAACAAGAGGAGTGTAACAACCCCATATGTTGTCTTTTATGGGCTTTTCAAGGTTTTATATCGCGTCTAGTATGAAGAGATTTTACACACCTTTGTAAAAAGTGTTTCATTATTTTCGTTAATCAATGTGGGATCTCACAATCCACCCCATTGGAAGCTTAGCATCCTTCCTGGTACACTGTCCCGATGTCTGGTTTTGATATTATTTGTAACAGCCCAAACCCACGATATTGTCCTCTTTAGACTTTTCTTTCTAGGCTTTCCCTCAAAGTTTTAAAACGTGTTCAATTAGAGGTTTTTACACCTTTACAATGAATGTTTTGTTCTTCTCACCAAACTTTTTATGAGAAACACTCGTACTTTTATTAAAACAATCAATAAGAGATTACCGAAGACTCTTTAACTACACTTTGATTTGTTGGAATGAAAAAATTAGTAGGATGGAGAGTCCAAGACTAGACAATTTATAAAATATCTAAATATTTATTTCTAAAATAATTATATATTTTTATTTTTAAAATATTTAAATAATTTTATTAAAATATGTAAACAATGAACTCATACAATTATTAGGCTTGACTCTATTAAACTAGTAATGATCTTTTAACGTGAGCAACTACGTATGTTACTTGATCAGATCATGACATAATTTAAAATTTAAAAAATTAGAGAAATACACTGAAGTGTTTGAAAAAAAATGTTTTGCTTTTTCAGCTATATTCTTTTTAATATTAATATGTTATATATATATTAAAAAAGTAAAATAATGTTTAGAAAAATAAAACATTGGTCAATTTAAATGGATATGCCTGAGATAGCGGACTTAGCTCGCAAATTGTTTGACCAGTTGAGAACTTTTGTGCATTGGAAAATGAAAAGTCTAATTTGTTGACAATATGCTTTCTCCATAATTTAACGAAACACTTTTAATAGAAGTTTTGAGAATATACGCGTTTTTTAAATCGTGAAACTGACGATGATATGTAAATGCAAAATCAAATAATATTTATTAGTGGTGAGTTTGAACTATTACAAATGATATCAAAGCAAGATTCTGAAAATATTGTATCTAGTCATTACAGCTGGAAATAAATTGGCCGAGCAAAACAAAAAGGGTGTTTTGCAGGATTTTATGTTGTCTGTGGGCTGGTATCAGACAGAACAGAAACCACAATTTCTCAACGACAAACAGAACAGCTTTGTTGTTGTACCATAAAACTCAAGATTTCTCCCCTTGTGTGAAAATTGACAAAATATACCCTTTGGCTGGTTTTTTTTTTCTTCTGTTGTTTATATTTTAAAACATTTTTTCTTCTCGTCGTATAGAAATTGTGGATAAAGAATGGGTCAACATTCGATTTAAATTCTAGAGTGATTGGAGAATTAGAGGATTAAATTATCGACCTTTTGAATGATAATTAGTATATTATCTATTTTTACTATATTCACCTTGGTGCCATCAAGTCACGTTAGGTTAAATTAACAAAATATATTGACCACACTCATGTGAAGTTTCTACCACACATAAAATGAGAGATTTGAACGGCTCAACTTTAAAGCAAATTTGGTCGTACTTGAAGTATAAATTTATTATTTTACATGTAGAGTCAAGTATACTATTTATGACATTTGCGTGTAGAAACTTTTCCATGTATTTGAGTCAACAAATGTGAAACGACAATTGAATTTCTTCTAAAAGTTGATAGAGAATGCGTCATTTTCCAATCAAATTATAATATATGGTTTTAATGAAGCATGCCGTGATGTGATGTTAATGAAATAATATAATATTTATAACTTAGTGATAGAAGCGAAATGTTTTTTTTAATGAAATGATCATTATTGTGTATAAGGCAAAGTCTTTCTTTTTTATATGATTAATTTTGATAGCATTGCAACTAAGATACCTAGGGAATTTAGCACATGTGTTTAGCTATATTTTTAATTTATAATAATTATTTTTATATGTAGTAGACAAGTCAAATATATTTATTATAATTATGTTTAAGCGATTCTTATGAGAGTTTCTTGATTTCTATTTTTGCTATCTCGTCTTCTAAAATGGAACTAGACCTCGTTCCTTTTATGTCCCGTTACTAAATTGGAAATATTAAAAAATTATAAAAGGAAATATAAAACAAAATAAGGAAAACTTAAAAGGCCAAATTATAATTTTAATTACAATACTTATTTATTAATAGCATCTATTTTTTCTTTAATTAAGCTTCAATTATGAGACTATATTCCATTAAACGGAAATAAATATCTTATCAGATTTCTTTTCTTCTTTTTTTTTCCTCTAAAAAGGAAATTATATATCAAAGAGGAGAATCGGAGAGGCAGAGTGCATGACGTCAAATATAAATTAATAAAATAGTTTGTTAGGATTTGTTTGGAATTTTTGGTAATTTATACCAACAAATTAATGTATTTTGATTTTATATTCTAAAATTATTTCTATACAAATACTACTTCCAAGTTTCATATATATATATATATATATATATATATATTAAAGTTTTAAGTTTGAAAACTAGGAACAATAAATTTTGTTTTAATTAATTTGGATAAGAATAAAAAAATATTTAAAAAAAAAAACAAAATAAAGGTCTAAAACATTTGATAACTCTTCTGGATAAGGTCTTCAATGACCTGGAATCTCGATCTCTTTTTTACATCATTGGTGCATGGGATTCGAATTCGACAATGTGGCCAGCCGTGTTACCTTATATTTATCTTGAATGGTCAATGAGCGTGAATAATGTGATTTGTGAACCGACAAAGGGAACCATTGTTGGACATGTGACGATATTATATAATTTTGTGTAATTTTTAAAAAATATAATATTTAAAAATTAAAATAAGGGAAAAAAATATTGATTTATTTTGTTATTTGAATAGGAAAAAGAATAAAATAAAAAAAGAGGCAAAGAGAGAGGAATTAAAACTAAATAAATTCCAAAAAAGAAAACTCAAAAGTATTAATGATGATATATATATATATATAATATATAGTAAAAGAATGAAAATGGTGCTTTAAATCAGTAGTAATTGGTAACAGTAACGCAATTCGTAAAGTAAAAAAATCGTCGATTCCTCTACTTCAGTCTTCCCTCACCATGCACTAATTCTCTTCGCGCCCGTCTCGCGCCTCTTCGTCGGTTCTCTTTCTCTATCACACTCAGACACACGCTTCCCGCTCAATTCGTATGAACAGTTCTAATGATTTTATTGTGATTTCCTGCTTCAACCGATTCCATTCCGTTTCTGCGAACTATTTGCGTGATTTTTTAGTTTATTTGGGGCTTACGTGAAGATGGTGGACTCCGTAGCGAAGAGAACGAGGCTGAGGCGAGCAATGGCTAGAGAGGAGCATTTGGAGCAGAGGAAGAAACGTAGGAAGAAGAGCAGGGATTCCGCTAGTAACAATGTTCGAGGTCAATTTTCGAGCGGAGGATTTCGTGATCGAGGCAAGTGGGTTAATGCTTCTGAAAATTGTAGTGTTAATCGTCGAATGGAGGTAGAAAAAGTGGCTATAAGTGTTGATAGCAAGGAGGAGAGCGTCGAGGAGATTGATGCTGTTACGTTTGGTAGAGAAGGTGGGGATTCGGTCACATTTGTAGGTTCTGAGAGTTCGGGGTTGAAGAATGTGAAAGGATTTGGTATGAAAGGGAATGTTGATGTAATCGATTTAGAGAATGAGGTGATTTTTCTTGACGAGGAGGAGGGTTTTGATTCTGTGAATTCGAACTGTTCGATTTCTAAGTCAGCTGCTGCTGCTGCGAAGGGCGGGGATTTCACTTGCCTTGATTTGGATAACGAAGATGGTAGTAGTGGCTTGATTTCATCTGGCAAGGGAAAGGGTGCTTTAGAGATATCTCCAAATAAAAGCATGGGAGAAAGTAATTGCTTGAATTCTAATGGCTTTGAGAGTGGAGGTTGCTCGTACAGCACTGAGCCCGCGTGTTGTCCTGATGATGCTGTAGATGAGTCCACTGAATCGGGAGCATCATCAAACGAAGAGAAGTCTGATGAATTGAGTGACGAGAATTATGAATTAGAAGAATCAGAAGAGTCAATTTCAGAGTCCTCTAGTAGTTCAGAAAACGTGGAAAATAATGGAAGTTGCTGTGTAGAAGCAGGAAGTAGAAGGGAAAGAATGGAAAGCAGGAAGAGGATGAAAGTTATTGAAGGTGGACTAAAGAGGTGTAAAGCTTATGGATTGGACATATTGTCTGATCTTGACAAGGACGGTCATAACTTTGATTATGAAAATGGAAATGCTAAGGTTCGTGAGCAGCAGGTGAATTGTGTTGCACGAAGAACCCGTTCACGCTACGTTTGGAAGGTTAAAAAGATAAATAATGATCTTGGAACTGTCAGTCAGCCACTCTGTATTGATGAGGAAGGGTCAGACTTTGAGGGCAATGAGAAAGAAATACATTCTTCGTCAAGGCATGACAGTGGAGATTCTTGTGATAGTGACAATGACAGCGATAACGATAGCGATAGCGATAGCGATAGTGATCGTGGTCATGGTCGAGCTCGTGATCGTGATCGTGGTCGTGGTCGTGGTCGTGGTCGTGGTCGAGGTCGTGATAGTGTTCGTGATCATGATCGTGATCGTACTGCTGATGATGGAATTTACAAGCCAAGAGCCTGGAGTAGTGGTATTAAAAAGAGAACTCAGTTCAACAATCAAAGTGATGATGTTATCTTATCAGAAAAAAATGATGATCATACAAACAAGGTTGAGAATTTTCATGGGGGTAGTAAACTTTGGGATAGTAAAAGTTCTCCTGAAACAGATAAACACAAACGGAGTGAAGACTGTGAAGATTTTCAGAAGGTTCACCCAAAGAATTTCCATGAGTTTGATAGTATTATCAAAACAAAAGGCCACAGTGCCTGCAAAAATCTTGATGTTTTCAATATTCTTGTAGATTCCATAGTTGCAGACAAAGAACTGCCTTCAGATGATTTAGATTCTCGTACAAGTCCACTCTCCCATTGTCCTGAGATGCCTCTTCCTTTGAAGTTCAATTTTAGATTTGAGGAACCACATCTTCCAGAGAGGTTAGAGGAAGAAAAAGAAATGGATAAACTGTGGGCTGAGCTTGACTTTGCTCTCAGATCCAGCGAGATTGGTGCGGTGGATTCTATTACAGTAGGTCCTTTCTGTAGCATTGGATTAAAGCTTGTTATGTGTTATTATAGCATTAATATAGTTGCACAAATAGGTTGACAAGTTCTATTCAATATAGATATTCCCCCTCTCTTTTGCTCTTATTTAGGAAGCGGTTACACTTTATTGATGCTACTCAACTGCTATTCTCCAATTCTCTGTTACAAATGGTTATATGACTATAAATTGTGAAGTAAGTGATTCGTAATGATTTGCAGGTTGAAAATGAAGATGCCTTTCTTTCAAAGCTTGACCAAGCGGATCTTTGTCTTCGTGGGGATCATCAGCTGATACTTGATGAACAAATCGGACTTAGATGCACACGTTGTTCATATGTCAAATTGGAAATCAAAGATATTCTACCTTCTTTTGTGAGTCGTCTACCTCTCTGTTTATTTATGTACGTAGTTCTGAAAAGTATCTTCTTTTTCTGTGTATCATGTATATTCTTTTGTGAGTTTTTGCACTTTCTTTTTCTTCTTTAGATTATGCTTTTATATGAGTAATCAGTAAATGACTGGACAGCAAATCTAATGTAACTATTATTATTTGCTTTCTATGTTTGATTCTACAAAACTGGCTTTTAAGAGGGTTCGAGCGATATCACTTTAATTATTATTATTTGCTTTCCTTGCACATATTCGATGAAGTAATGTCTTTGTGGATGCTTTCATATTGAAATATAGTTGAATGAGTAGGCATCAACCATTTTTCATTCCTTGATGTTAATGTGCGTTGGATCTGATTTTGTCTTGTCAAGTGGCATCTAGATGTGTTTGTTTGAAACTTCTTGCATTCATTACGTTAGAAAAATAGTTTGCATTGCTGATTGAAACATCCTCTTTCTTCTTCTTCTTCTTTTAAAAACTCAATCTTTGTGTTTTTTTTTAATAAATAAATTCTTGGATGTGAGATAATGTATTGTTCTGTCGTTAGTATGTGCTTGTTGACTTCACAGCTTATTGATGTCTTCCAGGGTACAAATCCATCTGGAAAGTCGCATAAGAGGGAATCTGGCTCATTTGAGCACGTTAGATTTGATGACCTTCAACAGGAATTTGATCGTGACCCCCATGACATATCTGATTCACAATATCATGTTGGACGTACAGTGTGGGATATCATTCCCGGTATAAGGGAGAGCATGTATCCACATCAGCGTGAAGGGTTTGAATTTATTTGGGAAAATATAGCTGGAGGAATTTATCTTGATGAGTTAAGAAACATAAACAGCTCAAACAATGGGAGTGGATGCATTGTATCACATGCTCCTGGAACAGGAAAAACTCGTCTAACAATTGTTTTTCTTCAGACATACATGGAACTAAATCCAACATGCCGGCCTATAATTATTGCACCTAGCAGCATGCTCCTTACCTGGGAAGAGGAGTTTTTGAAGTGGAAGGTTGGCATTCCCTTTCATAACCTGAATAAGCGAGACTTCACTCTCAAGGAGAATTTTTCAGCTCTTAAGTTCTTGATGCAAGCTTCTCCATCAGGACAAACTGTGGAGAATGTACGGCTTGTAAAACTGCTTTCCTGGAAAAAGGAGAAAAGCATTTTGGGAGTTAGTTACAGATTGTTTGAGAGACTTGCAGGAGTTCGGAAGAATACGAAATGTGATAAAGTAAGGAATGTCCTTTTGGAGCTTCCTGGTCTTGTTGTCTTTGATGAAGGGCACATACCACGCAACGATGATAGTCTTATTTGGATGGCCTTGTCTAAAATTAAAACAGAAAGGCGCATCATTCTCTCCGGAACACCATTCCAGAATAATTTTACTGAGTTTTCTAATACACTAAGGTTGGCGAGGCCAAACTTTGCAGATGCATGTAAGTCTGGAGGTAATGAATGCCCAGATAAGAAGCGTGGACGCCCGAAACATATCTCAAGAGGAAAATGGGACCTTTTGATTAGTTCCATCGACAGAACTGAAAACTTGCCGGAAAGTCCGGAATTGAGAGAAATCAGAGCCTTGATCAGTCCGTTTGTGCATGTATACAGGGGCAACATCCTACGTGAGAAGCTTCCGGGGTTGAGGAAATCTATAGTTATATTACGGCCAGCAGAGCTGCAGAAAAGTTATCTTGAAAGCATAGTAGGGAACAATTCTTTTGAGGTGGAATATGCTGAGTCCTTGATATCCGTACACCCTTCCCTGAAACTGAAATGTGATAAAGAAGATTTTGATATCGACAAGGAAATGTTAGAGAAGGTTAGATTGAATCCTGAACTAGGAGTGAAAATACAGTTTCTCCTCGAAATTATACGTCTGAGTGAAGCTTTGAATGAGAAAGTTTTGGTTTTCAGCCAATACATTGAACCATTGTCCTTTATAGATGAGAATCTTAAGTTTCATTTTAATTGGAATGAAGGGGTAGAGGTATTTCATATGGATGGAAAGCGTGATATAAAGAAGCGACAAGCATTGATAAATACATTTAACGATCCGACAAGTGAGGTTCGGGTGTTGCTTGCATCAACAAAGGCTTGCTCAGAAGGTATAAACCTTGTTGGGGCTTCAAGGGTAGTTTTACTTGATGTTGTATGGAATCCTTCAGTGGAAAGGCAAGCTGTATGCCGTGCATTTAGACTTGGCCAGAAAAAAGTTGTTTATGTGTATCATCTCATTGCCTCTGGGACAAGGGAAGAGGAAAAATACAGTCGACAAATGAAAAAAGATCGGTTGTCTGAGTTAGTTTTCTCTCCTGAACAGGGCAGTAATCAAGTAAAAGTATCATCCACAGATCTGGATGACAGAATTTTGGAAGCAGTTCTTCAACATGAAAAGCTTAAAAATATATTCGAAAAGATAGCGTACCAATCAAAGCAGTCCAGCATGAATGGGAATTTTGGCCCGGCAGACTAGGACTGAAAATGTTATCACCATGTCTGGAACCTGATGCTCTCATCCTTTGTTTTCAAGTTCGATTCCCTTTCGGAAGCTTGGCAGACAGACAGTTATTGAGCCGTGGTACTTTTGGACACTGGTAATCCCGACTCTCAATTTACCAATCATTTTACCTATTTTTACTTTTATATTAGTTTTGAGCTCTTTAGATTTGTTTAGATATCACTTTGCCTTTGCCTATTTTAACTGGTTGTAGTTACTAGTTTGAAGGAAATTGAGTATTTACGAACTTAATTTTCGTAGGCGAACAAAAGAAAATATTAAATGGTGTTATCAAACATGGCTAACTGGTTGTAGTTACTAGTTTGAAAGAAATCGAGTATTTACGAACTTAATTTTCGTAGGCGAACAAAAAAAAAAAAATTAAATGGTTATCAAATATGGCTAACCGGTTGTAGTTACTAGTTTGAAGGAAATTGAGTTACTCAATTTCATAGGCGAACAAAAGAAAATATTAAATAGTTATCAAACATGCCCTTACCCTGGGTTTCTACCATCTGCAACACTGAAAATCTGTCTGTCTTCCTGTTTATATTGCAGATTTTTGTGGCCTTTCTTGCGACGATGCGCCAGAATTGGTCGTAAGCACTACTAACTCGTATTTATTTTTTTTATGGATCCATTAGATGGGGGTAAAAGCCATTTTTTGCCCCGTCTTTTATGGAGTGCTTAATTTTTTGAAGCAGCCAGTTAAATATTATATGAATTTTTTGGTCTCACTTCTCAATGTACAGCGAAGAACTGTAGTTTCGTTTGGATAAGTTACCCAAAAGAAACTACAGAATCTTGGAAAGTGTTTAGTTAGAAATAGAATACACAAGTTTAGTTAGTTTTAACTGAAAAAGCTGCTGTGAAAAGGAAATGCTAACAGAGGTTCTTCTATATGTTGTTTTCCCCTTAATATTGATATTAACTTCGAATAAAAGTAGAGATATTCGTGGCATTATGGTGTAACTACAACCTTTTGATGATTATACAAGTGACTGGAAGGCTGTTCTTGAATGGTATTCTCGACTTGGCCCTTACCTTGTTATAGCTTCTTTTTTCTTTTTTTTCTTTTTTTTTATAGAGATTTTTGTTGTAAATTTGGATGCAATTTCAATTCATTCATATAATAAATTGAGTTGAGTATTTAAATAAAGAAAAAAATAGTAAACAAACAGTTGAGCTGGAAGCCTGATTGATCTATTAAATTGTTATCACCTATTGAACTTAAAATGAAAATTCAGTTTTATATTTTGTTTGTGAATGAACTAATTAGTCTTCTAAAAGTTGAAGAATAGTCAACCTACCAAAAAAAAAAAAAAAAAAAAAGGAAATATATATATATTCTCAAACTAATAGAGACCACAAAAGTCCGTTTTCAAATTTTTTTTAACCTGAGAAGATAGGTTCTCGACCAAATAAACCTTTTCTTAAAAATTCAAAGAGACAAAATATTTGAATTTTTAAGAATAGGTTTAGTTGGTATATTTTCTCTTTAAATTTTTAAGAAAAGGTTTATTTGGTCTCTATAGTTTAAGAACCTATCTTCTCAGGTTAAAAAAGGTCTGAAATTTGAAAAAGTACTTTTTTAATTTTCATTATTTTAATTTTGGTAAAATATGTTCACAAAAGGTGTGAAATCCCATATTCCTGTGGAGGAAATCTCTCCCTCACATGTGTTTTATTAAATACTTTTTAGTATAATTTTTTTTTGGTGAATTTATAATTTAAAAGAATAATAATAATTATTATATATATATATATATATACACACATATATATTGATAAAAAAAAAATCGATTGTTGATAGGAATATACTGAATTCGTTGAAGTTTGATCCCTTGAAGTGGGGGATGACATTAAGGTTGAGAATGTGCTTTCAATTGTCTGAGTTACTATCGGTCATTTGATGTTATGGTCAACTAACTAGAATTTAGAATAAGATTCCATTCCCATCCTCTCTATTATGCATGTATTTTTCATCGAATTATCGAAGCAATAGAGCTTGAAGTTGGGTGGATGCTACCATTTAACAGAGGGTGGAGTCCCTAGAATTAAATAAAGACAATTCTAAAGACGGAAGAATAGAGAACTTGTACGGTAAAAAAATATTGTAAATAATGACTTTAAAGCATAGTTCATCTTGGTAAAACATACTAGAACTTACCTTCTCTTTATTACTAGTTAACATCTCTTGAAAGATCAAACATTTGACTCCATGCCCACGTAATACTCCTTTGAAAAAACGAAGCAATTTCCATCTTTCAAAAAGATATTCATATTGTGTCGAACAAATTCTCAGAAGACAAACAATAGAACGAAGAGTGATAAAGCTATATTTGAATTAATAAAACTGTTAGGTGCAGAAGCAGATTAAACAAGAAAGTAATCTCCATACTTAACCTACCAAAAAGAGTTTTTTTTTTTTTTTTTTTTTTTTGGGGGGGGCGTGGGCGGGGTGTGTGGAGATCCTAAAGAAGCTCACCAAATAGGAGCCATCATCATGAGAATTGGCACCTCCATTCACAAGGGGTAGACGAATGCTTCATTATAACATTCAGACGCAGATAATTCTCAAAGTATTCTCATAGGAGGCAGAGCTACACTAACTCTCAAAGTATGTCCGAGATGCATAGAACTCACCCAAGTGAAAGCTTTTAAGTTTCAGTTTCAGTTTCATGGCTTGTGGATCTTGAATCCAAACACTCTCGGAACGTAGCTCTGAATGGCTTTTTGCGGCTTAAGGTGTCCATATGTCATCAGAAAGAGGTGAGAAAATGTAGTTCCGAAGTAAGCTCCATCAATGTCTATATAGAGTTAAAGAAACTTGTGAAGACTGCTGTCTATCTAAACTGAATTCTCATCATTTACAAAGACTTCCATGCAATTCAGTGATTCAAAACATGTATTGTGTGCGCTTTAAAATGCATGTGCTACAAAACCTGAAAACCGACAACTTCAGTTTCACGTAAAATAAACACCGAGTAGAGTGTAACTTTCATGTCAAATCGACAAATTGCCATTTCCTATTAGTCAAATTCAACCTGCAGGCATAGGACAAACTGATCGCTAAAACATCCTCCCACCAATAGGGATACCACAAACTGACAGTTCTTCGGATTACTCGATTAGTAACAAATTATTCTTGAGTAAATTTTTTGATAGGATTCTGAAGGAACAAGACTTAAAACTAAACGTTCAAGAATAACTCCCCACTAGACCTTAACTAAGGAGGATATCTAGTTTATCAAGAACTCAAAGAAACAACCATGGTAATTAGAATGATTAGAATCTTCCCGGGTTAGACAGATTTGAATCCGCTTGTCTTGAAGTTTCTTCATGGTGTTTTCTTTCTATGTCTTTCGTTTTTTTTTTTTTTTTTTTTTTTCCTTTTTAGGTGAGAAACTGAACTTAAGACAGAAAGAAAACACCATGAAGAAACTTTAAGATAGATCTTTATCTTCCTGCTGCAACTTTCTGTGTTTTGCTTCCATTTATTTTCTCATTTTCACTTCTATGTGTTTTGCTTTCATTTATTTTCTCATTTTCACTCCAATGTAAAGATCGTATAGTTTGAGTATTAGTCTCTTTTTATTACACATCGATGAAAAGTTTAATTTCCACACCCTTATAAGGAATGCTTGATTCTTCTCTCCAACCAATATGGGATCTCACAATCCACCCCCTTGAGAGTTAGTGTCCTCGCTGGCCCGCCGCCCCGTGTCTAGCTCTGATACCATTTGTAATAGCCCAAGCCCACCACTAGCAAATATTATCCTCTTTGGGCTTTCCCTTCTTAGCTTCCCCTCAAGGTTTTAAAACACGTCTACTAGAGAGAGGTTTCCACACCATTATAAGGAATGCTTCGTTCTCCTCTCCAATCGATGTGAGATCTCACACAAAGAAATTGGATGATTGTAGCAGTAAATTGATAAGAAATGTATCATGTGCATGAAAGTAGTTGAACAGATGATCATGCAAATAAAGGATACTACCTTGATATTTCGATCGAGGATAATAAACATCCTCACATCTTGGACAGTATATTTTGACGGTGCTTGCTCTAGGAATATCTGATTGACCAACAGGAAGACAGGGCTGTCCACAGCAGTAAACTCTAGGGCATCTCCCAAAGTCATAATTCTTGAACTTGTCCAGCTGCGAAGACCATAATGGATTATTCTGACCACTGGCATTATAAGCATAAAAATAAAACATAACCCAAAAGAAGATTCTCACCATAGCAGCCATGCCTTTACTTGTCAATATGTATCTCGCATGAATTAGACCATAAAGCATTTCAGCTGCAGATTCAATTAGTTCATTCTGTTCCTCTGTAAACATATCACCTGCACATTTCACCCATTCAAATTGATTTGTAACAACTGCACCTAAATGGGAGATTGAAGCCCAAATACTTATATAGAAGAACTTTGAAAATGGATACTGTCAAAAGCCCCAAATGATAGAACAATAATTACTATAGAAATTAAGCACAAACCAACATGGAACCTAGTGTGAGAAATGAAAAATAAAGAAAGAAGTAAAGCGCTTAGATAGAAAGAATGAGTTCAAAGCACGGAGCCACCAAGCTAGAATTTAATGTTCTACGAGTTTCCGTAGCAACAAATATAGTAGGTTCAAGCAGATGGCCAATGAAATAGGTCAAGGTGCACGCAAGCTGGCCAAACATTTACGAATAGCGAGAGAGAGAGAGAGAGAGAGAGAGAGAGAGAGAGAGAGAGAGAGAGAGAGAGAATAAACCCAACTTAGAGCTTTATCTCCAAAGAAATGGATGGAATGACTATCTCGATTTCAAAAGTTCCATGACTTTCAGTATCCTATTGATGGCTTCCCTTGCATTGTCAAGCAAGCAATGTTGCAAAATTAAGTCTTTTCAAAATGTTTAACAGCCAAAAGTATCTTTGAGAGACAAAAATACAACTTCTCATGTAATGGCATTAGCTTTGTCTTCTCAATCAATGATTTCTTTGATATGCGTCGAAACAGAACATTTCAGAATACTTAAGAATGCATTAAGCATACCATTAGAGGACTCAACATCCAAAATCAAATCAAGAGCATAATCATAGTATGGAACTTGGCTGCTTAACCCACAAAGGTTGAAGTCGTCTTGTATATAGTCATCATCCACTTCACAAAAGAACTCATTTCCTCGCAGATTACAAAACCACGAAATCCAAGATGTATCATCACCATCAGATCCACTGACATCTGAATCTTCACTGTCAGTCTCAGACTCTTCTGCAATTATACCAAAAATTCGAAGTCAAAACATAAACAAACCATAACAAAATCATATTGTCACTAATTTATCTAACTCTTAAAAACCAAACAATCAGACGAACAAAGCATATAAGTTCTCAATAATTTTTATCTCTGCATGTCAATAATTTATTGCCTGTTGTCAATTGAGTAATTAGCAATATGCTATTTGTTTTAGTTTCATAATAGAGAAGAATGGTGAAGACAGAAAAAGTTGGACTGGAAACTAACCTGAATAACATCTATATCAATATTTATGAAATTATGTCACAAAGAATCACACAAACATTTAGCCTATCCTATCCTCTCATCAGCCAACAATCAAAGTCAGAATTCATTAGTGGGAACAACAATCATTCTAATCAAGTATTCAATCGTTCCACAAAGTATGGCATGGGAAGTATACGCTATTGCAAAAGGTAGTGATCAAAACCATCCTTTCATAGGCACAAGGCCTGGAAACACTGATATCAGTCAACACAATACACCCGAAAACCAGACTTTTAATCATCTAAACCATAGGAGGCTGTATCGGATCCTCAAATTCCCAAAAGCACGCAAGAGAAAACAAGCACAATTCGAATCTGAACAAAGGACGAAAAAACGAGAGGAAAAAAATAGCTCAAACTAACAAAAAGTCGAATAGAACACAGACAAGAAAAATCGAAAAACAAAAACAAAGAGGAAAAGAGGAACCACCAGAACAGTTGGTCTTAGATAGAGACGAAGGACGAGAGTCTCTCTGATCAGACGGCGGCTTCACCATTAACACCGACTGAGCAGCGGAGGGCTTATCCTTTCCGTTAAGGACCGCGCGAGAAGTGGAGGGGGAGGATCGCTCGAGCTGCTTATCGAGAGCCTCGTTGATACGCTTCCGATCGAGAGGAGTGACCTCCAACTTGGAAGCGCCGGCAAGCGCACCTCGGTCACGGTGCATCGCCGCCGGTTGTAGGGCGGAAAGAGAGGGGGAGAAGGGGCTAAATCTGTGGGAAAAACATGGGGAGAAAGAGGGAATCGAGCGTAGGAGGAGAAGAAGAAGAAGAAGAAGAAGAAGAAGAGGAAGGATTGAGAAGCAGAGGAATTGCTAGAGAGAATCTGGGAGAGAGAAGAAAGAGTGAGAGAGCAGAGAAGGCATTATCTATGTGTAGATATGGTGGTCTGTGTCTGTCTGGGATTCCAAAAGCTCAACGAAGAATGACACAGCGAAAGAGAAGGGCGACGATTTAATCTTTTAAACTTTACTATACGGTTCACGATTAATCGGCAGCGACAACTCGTCCTCTTTTATAGTGTGTGTGTGTGTGTATATATATGATATATACATCCAATTTTATTCCGACTGAATTATTGAATAAATTACTCTTCAACTTTACCTTATTTTCTTTATTTAAAAGAAAATACACCTTTCATAATAAAAATTTAGACGCATTTATTTTTAAGATATTTCATTTAAAATATAATTTTGTCTACGTGATAATACTTCCACTCTCAAGACTGACATTTTGTTGAAATAAATAGCAAAGTTTGCAATATATTTTACCATTATAATCTAACAAATTAACCGTGATATTTTTTTAAAATAATTATATTTAAATGTTTTGATAGTAGAAATGAGGCTCATATAAGATGAAATTGGTCCAAACACTTGAAAAATAGGGATATTTTAATATATTGCTATATATATATATATATATATATATATTTTTTTTTTAATTTCTATTTGAAGTTAAAATGGTATGAAGAAGGAAAAGGGAAAGAAAAAGAGGTATAACATGTTTCACGTGCCAAGCCTAGTAGTAGTGCCACTGAAAACGACCACCAAATTTATGCAAACATTTAAAAGGTGAATTGAAGGCCAAAAGGTTGGAGAAATTTACGAAATTCTTATGATTTCAAAAGCTTTTCTCCAAACATCTCAACACCTTGCACCATGAGGCTACTCGTTTGGGATGAACAAATTTAGACATAAACTTAATCAAGAAAATCAAAAAGGCTAGAAATGCCTTGTTCTAGCAACTCAACAATCATCAACTAAACAAGTTCCTTGGTCTAAAACTGATCAAAACTTTAATTCGAAATTTTCTTGTTTTCTGTTGATAGAAACAGGTCGTTTCAGCAGCTTAACCAATTACAAAAGTGATCTATCAAACGCCAATGGAGTTTGGAGTTCTATCTCATGATAACACGGAATCAAATCAAACTACCCAAGAAGATAATTATAATACCTCTGCAGAATAGAGCTCCTTGCTTCCTTTTTGGTTCCATTTTTTTCCTCTCCTACGGGGTGGTAGTTAAACCTGTTAGGTAAGGTAATACAATATTTTGCATTTTTTCCTTGAGAGCTTAGGCAGGCATGTCTCAACTTTACTTTAATTGGCGAAGAAGCATAGAAGTGTAATAAACCACAATGAGGGTCGACTGTAGTTTGAAAAGAAAGATGATTGCTAACTTAACCTTGAATCTGCACTTTCAGATTTACAGGAAATAATGAGGGAGTTCTTCACAAGACTACAATAGATCCATGTGATGAGTGATAGCGTCTGGGCACGAGGAGGCTTGAAGAAGCTCTAAACGAGTGAAAGGATTTGCAAACTGCAATATGTAATCTTCATCTGAAGTAAACATTGGACAGCGAATGAAACATTAGTTATTTCATCCATGCCATCTTAGACAAGTAGACGAAGCTTTTGAAATTAGTTCCTTGATCCATGGCAATATACTGCAACCAATTGAACCAATCTAATCGGAGTAATGTGAAGTGGAGAACACAAACTTACTTTCTTTGACTGTTCCATAAAGCCAGCATAACACTTCATCAGCAAAGGCCAGACAGACTCCTCCCTGCAATCAGTTGTCATTATGAGCACAAGGATAGGAAGAAGAAAAACAACCGAAGTACCAAACTTCTGTTAACAATACAAATCAAAGCTTAATTAACAAAAAAATATGATATTATTATTTAGTTCTTTGAGTTGACAGGTAACAGTATGAAACAAAATTACAAGAAACAGAGAACAGAAAAACAGAGACAACTAAATTCATAAAACTTTGAGAAAAAATGCGACTTGACATATCATCCTTCCGGTAATATTTTAACTTTTGTTCCAGGGGCCTCCCTAAGTAGAAGAGAGTATTTTCTACTTTTTAGGCATGTAATGTTGTTACGGCTTTATCTTCGAGAATATTATCCTTTTAGAAACTACGTTTATCTCCTGTTTGGGCTAAAATGGAAGGGAGTTTTGTAGCTTTCTTAGCCCAGGCTAAGGCTTCCTAATCCGATTAATTCTATAGAAACTCCCCTCCAAAATATCAAATACCTGCCAATAGTTCTTCATTTTCACTCTCTGTGTTATGTCTTTAGTTCTCAATCTTTCTGTGCGGACTAGTTGGCCATCATCATTCCTGCATAAAATGAAGATGCAGTGAATAAAATTAAAACTAGATGTATGAAATCCGAAAACCTACAACATACTTCATGCATCAACAAGGTAATGATATCACTTAGTAAAAAGGAAAAACTGCGGGATGCTAATATATTTTGTGTAAATGAGGAAGATTTAAACAGCACCCAACTTTAGTTTTATTTAACTTCAAATGCTTGCTTAATAACAATTTTCCCCAGAAGGAAACAAACTCAGGATGGGTTGCAGTCACCAAGTTATTCAGAAGACAATTTCTCTATCCTGGATGAGTATAGAAGTCTTGGACTTGGATATTTAAGGCTGTGTAACGTGACCCTAGTATAGTCAGTTCTTCAAATGGGTAAAGTCTCAAGAAGGTACACAAATGGCATGAGTAGGTGGCCATCAATCACCAAGCTAAGACCAAATACTAGAAGCTCAACCCATTCCCTTGCTTGACACTTCGTTGATTACTTCTAGCATGAGAAAAAGGAGGGAAATGAAAGACACGGTGAGGCAAGGAATTCCATGGGACGTCCATAGAAAAATCTCCTAGCAAAGAGCCACTCACCCTGCAGACTTTCTTTCTATTAACAAATAGCTTCAATCAACCAAAATAAAAGAGTCCAGCTAGATGAATAAATTACCTGAACCCGATAATGATATATGGTACCCCAGCTAAGAATGATTGTATCTACAACAACAACAAAAAAATGCAATCAAGTCAATGCATGTACTTAGAATGGAACGAAAGACTATATAAGCATTTCATACAGTAAAAGGGAAGAAACTGGATGAATCCAGAGACAAAAGTTAAGATCTTTGAGGGAACAAAGATAATTTTTTTCGGGAAGAAACTCTAGAATTATCAATCGATCATCTTTTTTGCAGAGAAAATATTTTATGGAGTGCATAGAAAAAGAGCATTGTGCACGCAGCTATTGGAACTTTCAAGGATAGACCAAGTGACACAACGGGATAGTTCTAAAACTGTATCATGCAATCATCCACCTGACACAACATTTATGCAAACACTGAAAAGAAAACGGAAGCCATGTACGAATCACCAAAAATCAGCCTACTGTCAAGGGTATTGGACCCATGTGAAGAATAACAAAAAATGGCCATCTATCACGCCCCTTGTCACAGTTCCCAGCTCCATGAAAGATTTTGTTACCTTCTTTAAGCCCAAATGGAACCAGCAGGGTAACATGGAAGATTTCATTCTTATTCTAAAATCTTAAGAATGGCATCATCTTTTCTCGCATAAGGATCTTAAATTCATGTCTTTAGCTATGGTGACCTCTAATAGTCCAGTGTTTCCAGAGTCTAGCCAGCAATGGTTAAAGTTGTTTATACTTGATTGTGGGTACTTGTTTTATATATAGTTCCCATGCTTCAACTACAAAGTCAATAACAAAAGTAGACACTAATCGACCCAGCAGACAGGAAGTGCAAATATACCCAGAATTTAAGCAATTTCTCTCTCTCATATTTTTCTTCGGTACGCTGATCCAACTGCAAATAATAAGGTAAAGATAAATGTTATAAGATCGGAGCAAGGCCAAACACTGAATCTAAAGCATGAAAGAAATATTTTAAGTAGTATAGTATTTTTTTTCATTGATGTCAACCTCACGACTTGTTTTTAGTTCAACATAAAACCTCCTTCCCTCATCAGTTGAATCACAGCAATCCATTTCAGCACCCATCAGGATGCGATGGGCACCTAATTTGGTTTTGATCACAGCACAATATTCAGCATTTGCATCTACATGATGGATCCCTTCTCCATCACCTCTTCTTGGGTCCTCCGTCGCAAGGCTCTCAAAACAGTAACCCCAATAGCACCTACAGGACAAGGGTTACAAAGGCACTATGAGAACTTTTTGATACAAACGAATAAATAAAGCACAATTTTGTCCAGAAATTAACGAATAATAGCAAACAAACCAAAACAAAACAACAGGTGTATGTATTGTCCAACCACAGAAACCTGTAGCTTCTGCCGAATAACATTCAGCTAATTCTTTTATTCTTATGTATGATAACCACAAACCTGGAAACACTACCAGCAATCATCTATAATACTCATAATTCTCAGCCTAATGAGATCATGCCAACATCTGCTCATATTAGTTCTATGAAATCTTCCTCCAACACATGAGCAAGCACATTAAAGCTCTAGTACCTTCGACGCTCCAATTCACTTTGTGGTCTTTCTGGTAATTTATGCACATCAAGGTACACAACACCATTTCTTTTATGCACACCCATTTCCCAAGGCTCATGACGAATATAAGCAGTAGCCAATATCTGCATCAAAAGCAGCATAACATGACATTGATACTTGAGCATTCTAAATCAGTCAGAAAATATTTGTTACCGAAGAAAAGTTCCAGACAATAAAGAACATGTATTCACACATTCCAATGTCATTAGTATCAGGAGAATATGAGAATTATTAGAACCAAAAAGAAATCTCGACTTCCTTCAGCTATTGTATGAGAAATCCAGTAGATTCCGAAAAAGTTTAAAATTAAAACTTCATACGTAGCACCAACATAAAATTCTCTATACAACTTATATCTGTCATCAGGAGAATATAATCATTGATGAACCATGACACCCACAGATATTCTAAGAGAAGCAGAAAAGGAGTATTTGAGCAGCGAAAAAAGGACAAAGCATAATCAAAAGTACCTTGTTAAGATTGTTACGGAAAGTCTGGAAGTACAATAGGGCAAAGTTGTTAGTAATTGACCGATAATTGAAGTAAAATCCTTAAGTTAAAATGTGGCTCACCACAAAATGAATGTTTTGAAGAGGAATGTTTTTGTCCCTAATGCAAGCAAGGAGGTCACCAAAACCCTGAGAACCTAGGTCTGAATAAAAGGAAGAGAAAGTTATAAGATAGTGAAAAGCATATAAAAATGTTCTTTCAACATATTGATCCTAAAAGAATCAATTTGATGTCCATACCATCTTATACATAGCTTTTAAGGAAAAATGAAATCAAAATATTTTTTAAATTTGCATACCTTTCTTCTCAATAAAAGTGTCAAAACCTTCGTTCAAATCAGCTCCAATGTCTTCAGTAATGAAGCGCTTAAACAGTCTCTAGCAATGGCACATTAACAAGCAAAATGAGCAAAAAGAAAACCTCATTACCAGCTTGTATATGACAACAGAAAGTTCATGAAAATTATATGAAGAAAGAAGCTCTAATTAGCTTACCAAGCTGCGATCATCAAAGTACACATCTCCACCTTCAACACGACTATAGCAAGCAAGTTCACAAGGCTATAGAATAAATTATGATCAGCCAAACAATTGTAAATGATAAATGAACGAACTTTATGACAGAAAGATAGCATCCATAAAAGTTTAGCTTCTCATGAAGCACGATAGAATGCAAACTGCATTATGAACCATAATACAATAAAAACATCATAAAACCATACTAAAACTGTCTTTTCACCACCACCCAATACACAACTTACCAAACAGACACAAGCCACTTAAGCAACCAGTTTGAGAAAATTACTCTGAATCTATATGTTGTCAATCTGTGCATGTGTGTAGAGGAAGAAACAATATGCATACCTCCTGAAAAGCAATACACTTCCTTGCCAGTGTTTCTTCACTTTTAGTAAGCTTCATGTCTGAGACGAAGCGTTCATCATGACGCCCATTTGAAAACTTCGATCCATAGCCACCAAAACCATGCCTTTGGGGAAATGGTCCAGGCCGTGGAAGGAGGCCTGACCCTCTATCATTCCCCCAACGACCTCGCCCAAATGTTCCTCTAGCATGGTTGTTATTACTCCTTGCCGCAGGTAAGACTGCCATTAAATTAATCAACTGAGAAAATTGGGAATCTCTCCCCTAACTCTTCTATCATTTGTAGATAACTTCTCTAGTAATATAGCTATAGAAAAATAAAAATTAAATTTATCATGCTGCCACTACATAATCCATTTGTTCCATTTAATATTTCGAATTACTGATGGTGAATAGATGCTACTTTCATTCCAGTTCAGCAATTAGTTCGATATTTCCTCCCAATCAACCCAAAATTGCGAAATGGTTCCAATTTTCAGATCCCTTCGAATAATTCAAACTAAAGATTTAAGAGTAAAATACTAAACATAATAAATCAACAAAGAAAACGTTTCAATTACTCCCTCCAAAAATTCATACCCAGACTAGAACAGTAGCCTAAAGAGGAACAGTAACATATCCAGAAAACACCAGCAGAATACACGAAATAGGAAAGTTCTTAAACATGTACACAAATTAAACAGTAGCTAGCCCAACTAAAATTACCTGGCACAGGATAAGGACTAGCAGCAAGTGTTTTACAATATTCCTCATTATCAGAACCAAACAGATCTCTATCCTCATACCCCAGATGCCCCCTATCTTGATTCTGCTGAACTTCTTCGCCTTTTTCCTCGTCTTCTTCTTCAGCACTACTCGCACTCCCACTACCTCCACTACTACTGTCGCCTCCATCGCTAGCATTGGACGATGAAGAATCCGAAGAAGACGAAGAAGACGAAGAGGACGAAGATTGAGAGGAGGACCGAGCAGCATCACGGTCATGGTTATCGTTGTCGTTGTCGTTGTTGCCTTCGTTTTCCAACTCTTCACCGAATATATCTACATCTTGCTCGGAGAAATCCATTGGAGGGATAAACTCCGGCAATCTGGGTGACGAATTGCGATGGTTTCGATCAATTTAAGAGCAGAAAAGAGTTGGATTTCGATGGGAGGGAACTGAACGGCCTCTCTCAGTGGAATATGACTCGAGAGGTTTTTCCTTTCCCTCTGCAAAGAGTTTCTTCTCCTTCCTTTTTTTTTTTTTTTTTTTTTGTTTGTTTTGGGAATCTGATTCACAGGTCGGCCAAATTGACAATGTGAGTGGACTCGGTCCCTCACTCATTGGGCCTTGAGGGAATACTTGGGCCCATATCATGCATCCATTCCTTTATTTCGGCCCATATATTAATTACAAAATAATTTGTGAAATTATAAGTTATTTTTAATTTTTAAAGTTAAGAATTATGTATTTGTTAAAATGTTAATAACTTTTAGTTTCTTACAATTTTTTTTATTGTTATTTTCAGAAATATAAATTTTTTAAATGTTAATAAATTTTAGTTTTTTACAAATACTTTTTCAGTTCAAATATAGGGTAGAATATTTGATATTAAGCTAAATTTTTACAAATATAATAAAAATACATTGACTTTTCTAATTGAGCCAAATTAAAAATTTATCTGGGCCAGTTTTAGCTGCAGTTTTAGTTTTGTTTGATAACAATTTTAATTTTTAATTAGTCGCTAAATTTCTGTCCCACTTTTTATATATATTAGTTTTCCAAATTTAGCTACTTGTTTGTAAATAGTATTTATGAACGACTTTGAAATTAAACAATGTGACCTAGGTCAGGAGATCGACTTTGAAACTAGACAATGTAACCTGAGTCAGGAGTTTTCACGGTATGTATTGGATCACATCTAAAAAAAACGAACGACTTTGAAACTAGACCATGTGAGTGGGTTAGGAGTTTTCACGGTAGGTACTCAATCACATCTAAAAAAATGTAAACTTCTTTCGTTATTTTTTCACTTTTTCGAACATAATATATTTGCTTCCATCCCTAGTTCATACATTTTTTTTTTTGCTCAACGGCTGTCAACTAGCCTTGGAGATGGTTCTGCACAAATACAAACAAAATAAATCTTTGACAAAACTAGTTTCAAGCTTCAAGTAAAATTTCAGTAAATACCAACCCATTTTTTGAATGCTCTAACATGCTCTAATCTATTCTTCTGTGCCACAGTTCTGGCTTCTGATGGCTTTAAGCTCCTATAAAGATTCTTATGAAGCTTTAGATACTGATCTTTGTACATTCCTTTGTCGGTGAACATCTTCTGATCCTCCATATGTCCAACGACTTCCATCACTCTCTCAAAGTAACCACCTTGAAGAAAGCACAGCAACAAGAACTCATACAGATCTCTGCTCAACACTAAGCCTTTACTCTGCATATTCCTCTTCATGTCTCCCCATAGGAACGTGATGTCGCGATACCTTTGCAAAGAAGAGAAACTGAAAGCTAGATCGGCAAAAGTTCGGGCGGTAGGTTGAATGCCTGTTTGCTGCATTCTTTTGTATGCCTGTAAGGCATCCTCAATCATTTTGGCCTTGCAGAAAAAGTAAATGGAAGAATTGAACTTGTAAACTCTAGGAGATATGCCACTGGTCTCTTCCATTTCTTGAACTAATGATTCAGCGAGAGACGTTTTGTGGGTGTTTGGTTCGTTTTCGTGCAACAAACTTCGGTTAGCCATGTCTTCTGCCGTAGCAGTGGACAGTCCAGCATTTGCCATCTGTTTTTGCAGTACTTCTGCTTCTCTGAGCATTTCCTGTTTGTAATATGCTTCCAAGAGCAAGAAATATACTGCTGAGTCCATTGCCGAGCCAGCTACTTCGATGTCGTCCAAAATGTCGTGAGCAGTTTCGAGCCAACCTAAATAAATGCAAGCTTTAACTACATCAGAACACAAATTAGAACCCTGAACTGACGCCAACCCTTTTTGAACTTGAAGTAGAAGTTCAGAGAGCTCAGAAGTTTTTCCAAGTCTCTTGAATTCAACAATGAGTTTAGCAAGGGTCTTGTTACAGGCTACAAGTTTCCCATTCTTATAATTTATATACTCTGATTTCACTTCAACATTGAGAACAGAATCTCTCTGCAGTAGTTCTGGCATAATCTTTATCTTCAATCCGTCCTTGAGATGAGGTGATCCAATTGGAACAAGGCTAGATTTTTGGAAGTCCATCCAACGTTTTTGAATGCTACGAGAATCACCGAATCGACATATTTCCAGCACAAGGTTAGTAGCGGAATCAAAGTTATCGAACTTAAAGTGTAAGCTCAACAAGCTATCATAGAAATGACAGTAATGACAAACCAGTGAAGGAGAAACTTGGTCAATATGCATTTTGAAGTTCTTTAGATCATCTCTTTGACCGTTCATGTCATAAATCCGAGCAATTAGGACAACCGTCTGTGCATCAGCAACAACCCCAGTTCGAGACATCAATTCCACAAGCTGCTGACCCTTAAAAGATAATCGAAACCGGACACAGGCATGGAGTACCAGGTTAAAGATCACAGTATCTGGTTTCATCGATTTCGCTTGGTCATTTCTACTTGCAGCCTGTTGTGAGAAACAATCACAAATCTGGACTAATATATTAGAAGCAAGATATGTTCCAACCTCTGTCTTCACCATGTGCATAATAATCATCTGCAACAGTTCCATTTGTGGTAATCTCTTTATCTGCAGCATCAATCTAAGAATCTCGGAAGCAGGAATCGGCATTTGGGATCTCGCCAATCCGAGGGTAAGTTTAGTTAAGACATTAAGTTGCAATACCACTGGCTTCTCTTTCCAAATTTGAAGAACCAAGTTACATGCCTTTTGTAGCCAATTGCAATCAAAAGTATAAGATAATTGAGAAATCAACATGAGCAAAACATTATCCTTTGGAAAACCATACAGCCTTTTGAAATCATTAAACAACTCCCATGCTTCATCAATTTGATGATCTCTCAAAGCAATTTCTAGCTTTCCCAAAAGCACTGCATGTGAGGAACCTCCCCAACATAATGTTGTAGTGTGTACAGAAGTATGAACACAACGACAAAATCGAATACAACATAGCTCAGCAAATCCAGGGTTTACAATTTTTTTTATGAAGAACAGTTTCTCACTACAAGCTGATATTGAAGCAGAGCTCTGCAGAGCTGAAACTAATCCAGATTTCAAAGAAAAGCCCGTTAATACACGGGATTGAAGTAGTCTTTCTCTAGCTAAGATCAAGGCCATAAAAAATAAGAGATTACACTACTCATTATCCATGTATGAGATATGATGCTTGAAATTTACAAAATAATTGAAGATGGCTGCTGCAAATATCTTCGGTAAAACAAGTCGATAGGATTATAATAAATAAACCGAAAGAGAAATTGCTTACTAAGCGCTCGATTGAAAATTAACCTAGCTTGAAAACGAAGTTACAGCGCGCGGCCGGAACCATGAAATTTCATATGGAAACAACAAATGGTAAAGAAGAAGAGAAGGATGATTCTTAAAATCGAAGACGAGGATCAAAAATTCAGAATCGGTGAGGAATAATATGAACAATCAAACTAACCCGAAAATTTCCAAGGACTATCGCTTGCAGAAACCAGAAAAACAAAACCGCTGCCTCCTCCGATCGGCGAAGGGCGGAGGACGGCGGGCAAGAATCAAGTATTAGTTAAACTACGTCGTTTTCCGTTTCTAGGTCGAAAACCACGGCCCACTTTTACAGTTTTACTTTGAGGCCTTGTCCATTCTCGGTCTTCAATTCATTTTTCATTGGAATATTTTTAAATAAAATTAAATAAAATTAAAATATTCATTGATAATGAAAATGGTAATTTTATTATAGTAATTTTATCTCATTACTACTACTAAAAAAAATTGATATACCAAATAAAATTTAAATTATTGTTTTTTCAAAAGTAATAATAAAACATAATTTTTATTGATTAAAAAATATATTTGATCTAAATGTTATTCTAAATTTAACATAATCATTGAATTATTTGAATGGTGTAGGTCTAAGTCCAGCAACCAACTCGAATCGGACTTGCATAAGTCAAAGTATAAGTCAAAGGTTAGACCGAACTTGAATCAAAGTAAATTAGTCAACTAAATATTAAATTCAGTATAAATGTTAATTCATATATGATGACTATAGGCTAATTAAAAATAAAATATTATCTGAAAGTATGAGAAAAATGGGAAGAAGAAGATGGTTTACACAAAACTGAGCCTCTCACTAGTTTGTATGCTCACACAAGGACATCTCCTCCCGCAAAATTCTTCTATAGGCAAAAATTAAAAAAAAAAAAAAAAAAAAAATCTTCTCCTTATTTCATCTCAGCTCAAACAGTTTGGTCTCCAAGAATAACAAAAGTATAAAAACTCTAATTCTATTTACTCTCTTCAAGCAGCAGCCTCGTCGACCTCAGAATTAAACACAAAACTTGGGAATGCTGTTGTTATATCCCTGCATTTTCAACATCAATTCACAAATTACTCGACAACGAACGAACGAACGAACGAACCTAGTCCAAATTCTCGTATTCTTACCTCAAATAAGGGAGTGTCATGATCTTTAGTAACGACGGGTTCTTAGAAACGAACTGTTGCCACTCCGTCATGTCTATCTTCCCATCTTGGTTTATATCAGCTTCCAAAAATGTCTGCAATGCACATATAACTTCGTCACATGTATTATGTAAATGACATGTCACACAACGAGATCGGTGATCTATTTTTCACCTTATCGAGTATCATCTCAATCGTCTCATCCGCCAACTTCATTTCAGATTCACCAAGGAGTGCTAGTAACATTTGCTTAACCTGTCATAATTATAATTGGGATCGACAGGGAGTTAGAGCCTCGAGCCTCTACTAATAGAACTCGAGTTACTAATTGGTGAAGCAAGCAACGAAAACGAAAGGAGTAAAGAATACTTCGGCATACCCCTTTGCGCTCGATAAAGCCCGTGTTATCTAGATCATACAGCTTAAAAGAAACTGCAAAAGATTAAATTAACGTTTACACCACAAGAATTCCGAGTACGAGTAAAGAAGCTTATAAATGCTATGAACTAAAGTTTTGAACGTGTCGTTTATATGTACAGCCTATCTTGTCTTCCAAAGGAGTACTTGGATGAAATATGTGGAGCGCACGAACAAAGTCGCCGAAATCAATAACTCCTCTATGCTTCACATCAAATAGATCAAAGATCTACAATCACAAAAAAGGCTCCTCAGTTTTACTGCAACCTCTACGATAACCCGAGAAAGCGTAGCTATGGATACTACAGACATGTAAGTACAAACGCATCGACACAGCTAGTGCTGCTCGTGAGTTGGATTGTTTCCAATAAAATTGGAGTCGATCAACGCTTCAGATAATTCATGTGTGCCCAAGAAGGGTTATTATTATTATTATCGAGCTATAAACTAGTTCATACAATAAACATTACCCGACTTGCAAAGAGGTTTTCTTTCGTCCTGTTCTTGAAAAGAGCCAATACAAACTCTTCCTGCACGTTTAATAACATCTGTCAACACTTGAGGTTACTCGGATATATTTTTGTTGTTTAGATATTCAAAACATTTTAGGTTACTCGGGATCAGGCTTAACAATTGCATAATATAGAAGATTTGGTATGATGAATAAATACCTTGTTTATTAGCCCATCGTCTATCACCGAACTGCTGATGGTTTTGAAAAGCTCGAATAGAGCTTCGACTTCACTGACACTAACTGGAAATCAGAACATGGTACAACAATGAGAAAATCAGCACTAAGATGCATGAAAATGGGAGAAATATGAGGAAAAACAAGACAACAAAAACCAAATTAGATCATAATATGATCATCGAATCAAAGGATAATACAAACAGCTCCCGTCCCCACTCTGGAGTATATATGTAACGGCTCAAGCCCACCGCTAGAAGATGAGAGGTTTCTATACCCTTATCAAAAATGCTTCGTTTTCCTCCCCAACCGATGTGAGATCTCACAATCCACCCTCCTTTGGGGCCCAACGTTCTCGCGGGCACTCGTTCCCTTCTCCAATCGATGTGGGACCCCCCCCAGTCCACCCCCTTTGGGGCCTAGCATCTTTGCTGGCACACCGCATCGTATCCACCCTCTTCGGGGCTCAGCCTCCTCGCTGGCACATCGCCTAGTGTCTGGCTATGATACCAACTGTAACAGCCCAAGCCTCTCACTAACCGATATTGTCCTATTTCGGCTCTCCCCTTCGGACTTCCCCTCAAGGTTTTTAAAACGCGTCTACTAGGGAGAGATTTCCACACTCTTATAAAGAATGATTCGATCTCCTTCCCAACTGATCTCTCACAATATAAAGAATATGATGACACAATCAAGATCTAGAAGAAACCTAGACTTTATACAGGGCAGAACTTGGCTTCTTTGGTGCCAAATCCAACCAATTCCAAGTCAACTGAGCTCAAACCCGATCATACAAGATCATAGTCGAGACCTTCCCTCCCTATGTAATAAAAAACAAAGCCAGAAATGTTGATAGGGAGAAACAAAATTCTAATACCAAAAATTTAGGGGAAAATTACAAGGGAAACTTCAAATTATAATTCTTTATGAAGAACAAACAGGGCAGATCATGCAGAAGCTAAATGAAACAGAGAACTTACAGGTCGTTTGTGAAGCAAGGAAAACAGGATCCTCGTATCCAAGGTATTGCCTTCTTCCTTTAGACGGACCACAGCCCATTTACTGAAAGAGAATGGAATAGCCCACTAACAACAGCTGCCTTCTGGATTTCACTACAACAACGGTGAAAACCATCTTACCCCTTGCATTTAACAACCCCAAAATTCAACAACAACCGAACATCCTCGGATTAGTCGACAGATAATTCAAATTAAGACTGCGGCGCATAAATTCAAGATAAAACGTTTGGACTTAGCTTTTTGTTGACCCCAGAAATTGAAACATGCGTATTCAAATATAATACTCCTAAATTCAATCGTAGTCGGTAAAACAATCGAAAAGATTTGAACAAACCCAGAAATCAATTCAAAATCCAACAATCCACAGAAATCGGATCCCAAGACAAAAACCTACCAATAACAATTCAGCAGAAAAGAGGAGAAAACAATCAAAATTCCCAAATAACAACGAGGAGAAGGAAATAGGAGACCCACCAAGGAGTGTTCTTCAGGAGAAGGGGAAATTCCAGAGAGAAAACAAACTCTGTAGAAACCCAGAAGAGAGATATGGCGGACCCAATGAAAAAGAGGAGACGCCGCCAAGATGTTAGAACAAAATAAGCGGCGGAACGTGAGAATTTGGGGATGCAATTGGAAATGGAAAGCGCAAATTTCGAAACTGATGAGTTGATTCTAAAAGCAGCAGCGGCTAAAGGAAGCGGTCTTGGAATTGTAGCGCGAATTGGAAACGGAAGAGCCCTGATTTGGTATGTCATTTTTTTAGCAACAATATTACAATAAAATCGAATCTTTTTCTATAGAACATTAAATTGTTCTTGATAAAACATATTTTTCATTAAAATAAATTATAAAAATAGACGTAATAACTGACATATAATATTATTTATAACAGCCTAAAAAATTAATATCTTTGTTACCGTTTCTTATATCTCAATAATTAATGGGATATTTTGTATAATTTAATCTCCATTTTATTATATTAATATTCTAGGAAAAATTAATTATTACCCTTTAAATTGTAATATTTTATCAATTTTTCTTTCAATTAAATAATTGTTTTTAATGTTATGGTTTAATAAATTTTAAATATCAACCTATTAAAAGATAAAAATTATAATACTTTTTTGAGTTGAGAGATGTATTGAAATTAAAAGTTCAAAATAAAAGTTGAACAACGTTTAAGGATAATTTTTATTTTTTTTTTCTAATATTTTAATTATTAAAAATTATTTTGAAAATTGAATTTACAAACACTTCTATCTCTAAAATACATATACTTTCGGATAATATTTACTAAAGCCACACGTAATCAGGGATGAAATTTCTATATTTATAATTATATACGAAACCAAATAAAGTACAAAAAAAAAAAATGAAAATAGTGATAAATATATATAAGATATTCGACTATAATAAAATAATAAATACAGTACTTATGGTAAATTAATAGAAGAATAAATACTATAAAAAATTAACTAGGAAAAATACTTTTTTGCATGGGCTTCATTTTGATTTTTTAATAGCAGAAAATTCCACGTGTCAGCCAGATAATGGCGATTTTCTTCCGCTTTTGAACATTGCGCGTGAACTGACACGAAGTCAAATGTACTCCACGCGTTGCAGTCTCAACAAGTAACAAAATTTCCAAAGAAGAAGACCTACGTAGGAAATTAAAAAAATAAATAAATAAATAAAGAAAGAGAGAATAAAATATATGTTTTTAATTTAATGATTAATATTTTAGGAAAATAAGTTTACAATAAAAAATAGATGGTCTGGTAATGCCGTTAATAATAATAAAAAAAATTAAAAAATTAAAAAATATTTTTTCAAATACGAAAATTTAAATTCCAAAAAATAATTAAAATGCTAAATTATTAAATTTTAGCAAGTCTATAAAATTTTAATACATGTCCAATATGTCCTTGAATAATTTTGTTATTTTATAATT